AGTTCATTTTTCCCAGAGTTAGGAGTCTTTATGTTCTGTCTCCCTTTTGATATATTTTTCCACATTTTTTTCTTCCTTCTTCCTTCCTTTTTATATTCCCTTTCACTATTATTCATATTCCCCAAATGAATGAGAACATACTGTTGTTTGTCCTTCTCCGATTGACTTACTTCACTCAGCATAATACCCTCCAGTTCCATCCACGTTGAAGCAAATGGTGGGTATTTGTCATTTCTAATGGCTGAGTAATATTCCATTGTATACATAAACCACATCTTCTTTATCCATTCATCTTTCGATGGACACCGAGGCTCCTTCCACAGTTTTTTGGCTATTGTGACATTGCTGCTGCTAAACATCGGGGTGCAGGTGTCCCCGGCGTTTCATTGCATCTGAATCTTTGGGGTAAATCCCTAACAGTGCAATTGCTGGGTCGTAGGGCAGGTCTATTTTTAATTCTTTGAGGAACCTCCACAGTTTTTTTTCCAGAGTGGCTGCACCAGTTCACATTCCCACCAACAGTGTAAGAGGGTTCCCTTTTCTCCGCATCCTCTCCAACATTTTTTTGTTTCCTGCCTTGTTAATTTTCCCCATTCTCACTGGTGTGAGGTGGTATCTCATTGTGGTTTTGATTTGTATTTCCCTGATGGCAAGTGATGCAGAGCATTTTCTTTTGTCATGTGCATGTCTATGTTGGCCATGTCTATGTCTTCCTCTGTGAGATTTTTCTTTCATGTCTTTTGCCCATTTCATGATTTTTTTTTGTTTTTTCTTTGTGTTGAGTTTAATAAGTTCTTTATAGATTTTGGAAACTAGCCCTTTATCTGATATTTGATATGTTATTTGCAAATATCTTCTCCCATTCTGTAGGTTGTCTTTGAGTTTTGTTGACTGTATCCTTTGCTGTGCAAAAGCTTCTTATCTTGATGAAGTCCCAATAGTTCATTTTTGCTTTTGTTTCTTTTGCTTTCGTGGATGTATCTTGCAAGAAGTTACTGTGGCCAAGTTCAAAAAGGGTGTTGCCTGTGTTCTCCTCTAGGATTTTGATGGAATCTTGTGTCTCACATTTAGATCTTTCATCCATTTTGAGTTTATCTTTGTGTATGGTGCAAGAGAGTGGTCTAGTTTCATTCTTCTGCATGTGGATGTCCAATTTTCCCCAGCACCATTTATTGAAGAGACTGTCTTTCTTCCAGTGGATAGTCTTTCCTCCTTTATCGAATATTAGTTGACCATAAAGTTCAGGGTCCACTTCTGGGTTCTCTATTCTGTTCCATTGATCTATGTGTCTGTTTTTGTGCCAGTACCACACTGTCTTGATGACCACAGCTTTGTAGTACAACCTGAAATCTGGCATTGTGATGCCCCCAGATATGGTTTTCTTTTTTAAAATTCCCCTGGCTATTCGGGGTCTTTTCTGATTCCACACAAATCTTAAAATAATTTGTTCTAACTCTCTGAAGAAAGTCCATGGTATTTTGATAGGGATTGCATTAAACGTGTAAATTGCCCTGGGTAACATTGACATTTTCACAATATTAATTCTGCCAATTCCATGAGCATGGAATTTTTTTTCCATCTCTTTGTGTCTTCCTCAATTTCTTTCAGAAGTGTTCTATTTTTTTTTAGGGTATAGATCCTTTACCTCTTTGGTTAGGTTTATTCCTAGGTATCTTATGCTTTTGGGTGCAATTGTAAATGGGATTGACTCCTTAATTTCTTTCTCTTTCTTCAGTCTCATTGTTAGTGTATAGGAATGCCATTGATTTTGGGCATTGATTTTTGTATCCTGCCATGCTACCAAATTGCTGTATGAGTTCTAGCAATCTTGGGGTGGAGGCTTTTTTTTTTTCTATGTAGAGTATCATGTCATCGCGAAGAGGGAGTTTTTGACTTCTTTCTTTGCCAATTTGAATGCCTTTAATGTCTTTTTGTTGTCTGATTGCTGAGGCTAGGACTTCCAATACTATGTTGAATAGCAGTGGTGAGAGTGGACATCCCTGTCTTGTTCCTGATCTTAGGGGAAAGGCTCCCAGTGCTTCCCCATTGAGAATGATATTTGCTGTGGGCTTTTCGTAGATGGCTTTTAAGATGTCGAGGAAAGTTCCCTCTATCCCTACACTCTGAAGAGTTTTGATCAGGAATGGATGCTGTATTTTGTCAAATGCTTTCTCTGCATCTAATGAGAGGATCCTATGGTTCTTGGTTTTTTCTCTTGCTGATATGATGAATCACATTGATTGTTTTTACGAGTGTTGAACCAGCCTTGGTAGTGACATTTGTGATTGAATATAGCATAATGGATACATGGATACATCACTAGGTTGTATACCTGAAACTGATGTAGCCTTGTGTGTCAAACTATACTCAAAAGAGAAAATTAGATAACATTTTTCTCTACATAAATAGAAAGCAGAAAGGTCAATTGGTTGGTTTTGATATATATATATATATATATATATATATATATATATATAATCCTTAAACTTAAAGGAAGTAAAACCCAATTGGGCCTTTTCTTTCTCCCCACCCTTACTATATCCAGATTTAAAGCTGTATCTCCTTTTTTTTTTGATATTCCCTTTTTTTCCTTTTTTAAAACATTAACTTGTTCTCCCATACACAGATAATTTGTTATCAAATGCTTCTTGCCAAGTGTTAGATGTTCTGTTATGTTTCATTTGTCAATCATTTTCGACATTTTCAATGTATTGTCAAATTTGGGGAACACAGGTAGAGAGGTAATACTAAAAAATGGGAAAGCTTGGGAAGAATTAGACTCTCTTTTCCTAGAAATTTAGAAAAAATTGAAAGCTCATGAAATTATTTGATATATGCAAGATATTTGTTGCATTATTTATAACTGTAGAAAATGAGAAAATTTGCTTAAATAACCATAATAGGGTAACCATTAAATGGTACATATAATGGTATGATAGATAATTTTTCTTTTTGTGTCTTCTTACCAGTTAGATGTTTTTCAGTGGGCCTGCATTATTTTAAATAACCATTTTTTTTCATTTTTATCTGAATATATATTCTAGTAAGAAAAATCATTGTTAAAAGTTTTGTAATACAAATATATAGTTGCTTTTAAATATATACTTATGTATATGTACATATTTGATATGTACACACACACACAGGGGTATACATCACAGATGTGAGCTTGAAGATTATTTACCTCATTTTCTACTATATCTATAATTAGTGTTCATATGGGTTTTGCTTAGTAGTTTTTAAACTAAAACAAACAAACTGATAAATAAGCCTGTGTTTGTTTTGTTTTTGCTCTAAAACGGGGGGAAGCACTTGCATTCTTCCTCCGTATACTTTGCATTAAGGCGGGTGAGATGGAGCAGAATAAAAATATAGTTACTGAGGTGCACCTGTCTGGCTTTAGTCATTAGAGCAAGCTGCTCTTGATCTTGAAGTCATGAGTTTGAGCCCCATATTGGGTATAGAGCTCAAAAAAAAAAACTACATATATGTGTGTGTGTGTGTGTGTGTATGTATATATATATGTATGTATATATATATATAGTGTGTGTGTGTATATATATATATATATATATATATGTTGATGATAAATATGCCACGATACTGTTCTGGAAGCATTTATTAAAGACTTCTGTATTATATATGAAACTCAGTGGATAAGATTTGTGTATCCAAATCCCAGCTGTGGTGCTCAATAACTGAGAACTTAAATTACTTAACTGTTCTGTTTCCTCATGAGTAAAAATGGGGATGATAATAGTACCTACTTTAGAGTGTGTTGTGGAAAGACTACATGATTTTATGCATGGAATACATCTAGATAAGTGCACGGAGAAAGAACTTGCAGCTTGAAAGAGGGCTAAAAAATCACACCAAACAAATGCAATGTATATGGATTAAGAGATATATCCATCAAACAAAATATATAGACATTGCACATTGCAGCGGGGGTGGGGGGGGGGGCCTGATTTGAACAAAGCAACTGGAAAAAATATTATGAAGGAGTCGGTACAGTTTTCAATCTTAACTCTGCTGATATCAAGAAGAATTATTGTTAGATGTGTGTCGCGGGCGGCGCGAGAAGGTCCGGATTCAGGAACCGAGGGCAAGGGGATGAGAAAGAAACAAGAGACTAAAAGTTCATGGGATAGGAGGCTTCCATGCAGCTGATGGCCACAATGGACAAGCTTTATTTTTGCATGTAGAGTTTATATAGCCTCCGTAAGCAGGCGGCCTATTTCTTTAAGGAGAAGTACATCTCGCGCACAAACATACATTGTTTTTAAAACTAACACCTGTTACTTGTTTAAGCAATAGAGCAGGAATGCCACATTTAGACTAAACAGTGAGGTTTGTTTATTAAGTAATGTCTGCCAAGGCGGTCATGTGTCAGGCCACCTCCTTGCTTACTTTATGGGAACTTGTCTCGATAACATTTTAAAGGAGAAGCAAAGATGTACTTTTACTTCCATAAGGGGGAAGAGCTAGGTGCAGTCCAGCGGGTTGGCCAGGTATGACAAGGAGCCTTTGCTCAACCCGGAAACCCTGCCTCGCACCGCGGGACGGCTCCCAACGCGGGACGGCTCCCAAAACATCCCCCCTATAATTTTCAAATGCAAAAGTGAAGCTGTGCCTTAGAGGAGTTTAATTGATTATTGATTTTTTTTGCAAGAGCAGGCAAACATTACATACATCAGGATTAATCGATTATATAATGCCAAAAATATCCAAAAAAAGAATGTTTCAGCGAATTGAAGGGATTAAAGCCATTTAACTGATTTAAGATCTCACCGGCTAAATCGCCGGGGTCTTCATAATGCAACATACTTTGACAAAATGGCGTCTATTTCTTGTTGTAATTTTAAGAGATCCAGACTAATATTAGCATGATTCCAAACCCCTGAAAAATGCATGCGTACATTTCCCCATGATCCATTAAAAGGCAGTGGGGGGTAACACAAAAATATGTTTATAAGCGTCATGGCAAGTCAATTGGGTTATAGTTTTTAATACAACAAATTGATCACCAAGATATAAAACGGCTTCTTTTAAAGCTTCAATCTGCGCTTCAATTTTCCATCGATTCTCTTTTGAGCATCAAGAGCAATAGTTACATTTCTAGCAAGTTCATTTACATGTTCAGCGGTCTGAGCATTTTTATGCAAAGATACAACAGATACAGTAGCAGAAGCAATAAGAGCAATAGTAGCCACTATCCCTGCAATTAAAAGTCCAAGAAATCTTCGAGTTCTTCATAGCTTCTTCACCAATTCTTGAGCTAACTGCATGCCAAAGTTCGCGTACCAAGGTCCTCTCACGTCAACAGGGATCATCCAATATGGAGGTTGTTGCACCAGGAATAACTTTGTGTTGAAATCAATCTTCTTATCAAACTTGTGGCTTGTGAGGTTAACTTCTTTATTTGTCCCCATGATGGCAAATCTGTTTTAAGAGTCCTCTTCCTCCGAGGAGGGCATAAGTTCAGCCGACTCATCTTCCTTCTCAGTTTTGATATCTCTAACAAATTTGGCTGGAACGCAGCGTGGCGCTTCCTCATCCTGTGGGAAGATACAAGCATATCCTCGACCCTGTCTAAGCAAGGGGTCAGGGCCTTTCCACTGTCCTGTCATAGGATCCTTCCACACTTTGCCATAAGGGGTGGATCAGTTTTTTTTTCCCCAATTTTTTTTCTGATGGTGTATATCCATCCTCATGCACAATCAAAAAAATTTAAAATGAATATTGCTAAGTCTAGGTGCATGTGGGGGGAATTTTCATTTTTCCTGCCATAATCTCCCCCTTTTTTAGTTTTTGTAAGGTATTTTTAAGTGTAAGATGAGCTCTTTCAAATAATAGCTTGACCTGTAGAGTTGTAAGGGATGCCTGTGGTATGCTGGATGTGAAATGTTTTACAAAGGTTTTAAAAAGCTTGGGATATATAAGCACTCCCATTATCAGTTTTTAATCGTTTAGGCATTCCCATGTAACCAAAAGCGTGAAAAAGGTGATTTTGAAATTCAGTAAAACTTTCACCAGAATGAGCGGAAGCTACGATCATGCCAGAATAAGTATCAATAGAAACATGCACAAATTGTAATTTATTAAAAGATGAATAATGTGTTATATCCATTTGCCAGAGATCATTGGCAAAAAGGCCTCGCGGATTAATGGCAAAGGAAGGGGTGTTAACATATTGGGGACATAGGGAGCAATTTTTAACAATTTGCCTAGCTTGTTCTCTAGTTATATGAATTGCTTTCGTAGGGATCGAGCGTTTTGGTGGAAAAGAGAGTGACTTTTCATTGCCATACCGACAGAATCCTTATTAGCAATGACAGAATATATAAATGAGTATATCTGTCAGCCAAGTCATTTCCCGAGGATAAAGGCCCAGGTAAACCAGAATGTGCTCTAATATGAGAAACAAATATAGCTGAAACTTTTTTTAAGAGCAGCTGCTGTATTTTATGAAAAAGGCACGAAAGTTCCTCATCATTAGATTTATGAAAGAATCAGCAAGGATGGGTAATATCCTGGTGACATATTGACTATCTGAATAGAGATTAAAGGGGTTCTTGATAGATTTTCAAGTTTTTTTTATGACAGCATAAAGTTCAGCCCTCTGGACAGATTTTGTCTTATAGGACAACTGAATGACATTTTTATGTTGTTTATGCAGATAGACAATGGCAATGTGCCCGTCTTTGCTGGCGTCCGGAAATATGATGGGAGCGTCTCTAATCGGTTGACTTGAAATTGGAGAGACAAATATAGTAGGAATGATGGAGAGTCCCTGAAGGAGTTTGTCATTGGGAAGATGAAAAAGAAATTGACCAGGAAAATTTGCCATAGATGTTTGCCATTTCAGGGAGGTTTGATATGCATCCTCTACCACTGAGGCGGTTAAAAGAGGGACATACAATACTCTGAGGCTCATGTCCAAATAATTGATTGCATCTCTTCCGTCCCCTAGCAATTAATAAAGATATAAGGGAAAATCGTTGGGTTGATGACATGGAAAAACATGCATAGCTAAATGGAGCCATTCCAAAGGCCCATGGATTTGCCACACATAACACTGCCATAGGGAGAGCATCAGGTTTTAAGATTATTAAGTTAACATTCTTTGTCAAATCTCTTTGTTGGAGCTGCGCAGAGGAAATTTTATTTGCTACTAAAGCCAAGGTATCCTCTGCTTCTGGAGTAAGCTGTCTCAAAGATGAAGGGGAGGAGTCCCCTTTTAAATAGAAAAAAGGGGCTGTAACTGAGAAGTGGTGAGAGACAGCGAAGGGCAGAGCCAATTTATATGACCTAATAAATTTTTGGAAGTCATTTAAAGTTTTTAATTGCGAGGTTCTAACTGCGATTTTCTGTGGCCTAATACTCTGTTTACTAATAAGATATCCTAAATACTCACAGGGAACTTCTCTCTGTACCTTCTCAGGAGCTATTTGAAGTCCAGCAGAGCTAAGACATTGGGAAAGAACCCGAAAGGCGTTAGCCAGGTGTTCACTGGCCTCTGCTGCCAGTAATAGGTCATCCATATAATGAATACAATATACCTCAGGGAATCGTTTCCTGAAAGGGATTATAGCTCTTTTTACATATTCTTGACACAAGGTGGGACTGTTAACCATTCCCTGAGGTAAAACAGTCCATTCGTATCGATAATAGGGTACTTGCAAATTTGTAGAGGGCAAGAAAATGCAAAATGCTCCCCATCACCAGGGGCTAAAGATACGGTAAAGAAGCAATCCTTTATGTCTAGAACCAACATCTGAAAATTTAGCGGAATGGCAGAGGGAGAAGGGAGGCCAGGCTGTAGGGTCCCCATGGGAAATATTACCCGGTTGACTGCTCTTAGGTCTTGTAAAAGCCGCCATTTTCCTGTTTTCTTTTTAATGAAAAAAAATAGGGGTGTTCCATGGGCTAGTAGAAGTTTTAAATGGCCGAGGTTTAATTGTTCTTGTATCAAGATCTCAGCAGCCTCTCTTTTTTTCTTTCACTAAGGGCCATTGATCTACCCAAACAGGAGTGGAAGTTTTCCATTTGAGAGGCAATGCATGGGGAGGATTCAATGGCCCTGGGGAAAACCCAAACCTTGTCGGGCCGGATTAGGAATGGGGGCTATAAAGGCTGGGTCCCCTTGCAAATTTTTACCTAAACCTTTTCCAGGCTGATATCCATGCTGTATCAATTGATTAAAAGACCAATCATTGGAAAGGGAGAGATTCATTTGAGACAAAACATCTCTGCCCCATAAATTTAATTCTATATCTAATATAAAGGGCTGAAATACTCCTTGTGAATCATTCGTCAAATCTCTCCATGTAAGTAAATCAGAACTTTGTTCAGGGGAGGAGGCAAAGCCTACCCCTCGAATAGGTACATCAACTGTCTTTTTGGGCCAGGTTTTTTAGGCAAATTATGACTAGATACGACTGAAACATCTGCCCCAGTGTCCAAAAGGCCCGAAAAAAACCTTTCCGTTTATTTCCAGGTTAAAAAGAGTTTATCAGGAGAAATCATTTTGGTCCAATATATGTTGGTGGATCTGAAACCTTTATCTCCTCGCTCCCCAGTAAGCGCTTGATTAGAGGTTTTTATTATAGGGAGCAATATTAGTTGAGCAATAGGCATCCCAGGTTCCAGAGAGAGAGTACCAGTCTTCAGGGATGCCAAAATATTAATTTCACCCGTATAGTCAGGGTCAATAACACCTGGATAAACAATTAAACCTTTCATGGTCGAACTAGAACGCCCAAGGAGTAATCCAAAAGTTTCCTTAGGCAGCGGCCCCCATATGCCTGTAGGAATTTTTCTAGGTAATTGGCCTCCCTCCAAATAGTGAGTATGAACAGGAGCTAAATCTAATCCTGCACTGGCGGGGGTACCGCGGGATAATCTGTCAATTCGAGGGAGGTCATCAGTGTTGGAGACGGGAGTGATGTTTGTCGGGGAAAGAGGGCCGCTATTGTTTTTTTTGGCACCGCAGCAAGCCCCCCTTCCAGTTTTCCCGAGAGGGGATTCCCGTTAGAGTCAGTGTTTGATCTACATTCATTAGCCCAATGATATCCTCTGTGGCATCTAGGACAAAGGTTTTGAGGTTTTTTTGTAGTTTGAGTCTTTTTCTGAGGGCATTGATTTTTTAAAATGTCCCAATTGGCCACATAAGAAGCATTTTTGATTTATTTTCATGTTTGGGTTCTTATTTTGTTTTAGTATCTGAGCATGCAATTTTGCAGGAGGGAGGCCCTTTAAAAGCAGCAGCCAAGGTGACTCCTTGCAAATACGAGGGCCCTATATCTGCGCAAAGGCGCACATAATCTTCAAGAGTTCCCTGATTCTTCCAAGGTCTTTTGGCTGCTTGACAGGCGGTCATTAGCATTCTCAATGGCCAATTGTTTAACTCTTAAACAGCTTTGTCAGCTTCCGCATCGGTGACTATTCTACTGACTGCGGTTAACAATCTGGCCACAAAATCGGAATAATTTTCCTCGGGACCCTGCCTGATTTTTGACAGTTCCTGTGACCTTGTATTTGTGGTCGGTAGCTTTTTCCATGCTGACAGAGAACAACTATTAATTTGGGTATAAGCTACTTCAGGAAAGTCCAATTGCAAGCCTACGTCATAATACGGACCAGAACCAGTTAACATGTTGTAATCAACAGGAATGTTAGTTCTCCTATTGTAGCTGGCCTGTTTTTCGGCATTTTCAGAGAACTGCGTTTTCCATAACAAATTGTCCCCCGGGGAGAGGCATGCTTGTGCAATGACCCTCCAATCTCCAGGACATAACGCTTCTCGTGTCAAATTGTCTAACATAGAAAGAGTAAAAGGCGCTGTAGGGCCATACTGAGTACATGCTTGTTTCAAGTCCTTTAGTACTTTGAAGCTTAAGGCAGTGTGTGCTCTCTGTCCCCCCTGCACAGTAACAGGAAATATCTGAAACTCAGATACATCTTCTCCCCTCTGTGAGGCTTGAAATAGAGTTCTTTGTAATGCAGTAACTCCTTTTATTGGGTTAGATTCGTGTGATCAGACAGGAAAAAGGCTTTGAGGAGCCTTCTCAGTTTGCACAGTGGAGGAGTGTAATAAAGGTGGGGGAGGAGGTTCAGCATGATTTAAAACAAAAACCTCCTCCCTTCTATCTTTAAGGTGGGGACCATCAAACGGATCCGCTTCTTCATCATCTATTCTAAGGGATAGTTTATGTAAAGGGGGAGTATGGATTTTTTGATTTTTTAAGCTCCCCCCCATCGAGGGTGGAGACTCTTTTTCACTTTTAGAGTTCAAGGAGATGATCTCAATAGAGTCTGTAGGATCCAGAACCTCCTTTATACCATTCCACGTAGTCCATATATCAGGAGGCAATTGTTCCCCTCTTATTTTTAATTCATTTTTTAGAGTCTGTCCAACTCTCTGCCAATCCGAAAGATCCACCGAGCCCTGATCAGGAAACCAGGGGCATATTATTCTAACTGTATCAAAGAACTTATCCAAAGAGTTATGAGAAACCTTAAACCCCTTCTCCCTTAAAAGAGCCTGTAGAACTTTTAAAAAAATACCCATGTTCTACAGATTGCCTTTGTCCCATGATTATTTTACTCCTATCGTTCACGGAGCCGCCGTGATCCCCTTACCTGTAACGTAAACACTTCTTCTTTCACTCTGTCTCGGGTCCCTGTTCGGGCGCCACTTGTCGCGGCCGGCGCGAGAAGGTCCGGATTCAGGGACCGAGGGCAAGGGGATGAGAAAGAAACAAGAGACTAAAAGGTCATGGGATAGGAGGTTCCATGCAGCTGATGGCCACAGTGGACAAGCTTTATTTTTGCATGTAGAGTTTATATAGCGTCCGTAAGCAGGCGGCCTATTTTCTTTAAGGAGAAGTACGTCTCTCGCGCACAAACATACATTGTTTTTAAAACTCACACCTGTTACTTGTTTCAGCAAAGGAGCAGGAAGGCCACATTTAGACTAAACAGTGAGGTTTGTTTATTAAGTAACGTCTGCCAAGGCGGTCATGTGTCAGGCCACCTCCTTGCTTACTTTATGGGAACTTGTCTCGATGACATTTTAAAGGAGAAGCAAATATGTACTTTTACTTCCATAAGGGGGAAGAGCTAGGTGCAGTCCCAGCGGGTTGGCCAGGTACGACAAGGAGCCTTTGCTCAACCCGGAACCCTGCCTCGCACCGCGGGACTGCGGGTTGGCCAGGGACAGCAGGGAGCTTTGGCTCAACTTTGGAACCCTGCCTCGCACCGCGGGACCGCTCCCAACACTTAATCACACCTGCCTGCAAAGTCCTATATGCCCTTGTAAGGGACTGCACTTACAGGTTCTAGATATTAGGAGGCAGACGTCTCTGGGTGGCTGTTATATTCTACTTACCATAAATATAACTTTGAAACATTTGGCTTCTGAAGGAAGGACTTCGTTTATGATGTGGCACTCTCCTTCTTCAAAACTCTCAGCTGTCACCCCAAACTGCTTTCCTTGTGGGAGTTGCACTTATCTTTCATAATTAAGGAATATCTTTTATTTAGGGCTCCAGTATAGGGTTCATGGTACTTGAGATTCAAATTCAGGAGCTCTAGATCTGAGACCCTTGAGGGAGGGATACTTAGGTCTTGAAAATGACCTCAATTCTGGGAGTCTGTACTGAAACTCAGAGATGTTTGAGCCAAAGTTCAGACAACAGGAGGCAATGGTAATCTGGAGCACAGTTTTCACTGTAGTCTCAAGAAAAATGAAAAACCAGAGTGGACTTGGCCATACACTTAACCTTGGCTTCAAAAAGGAAGGAAGATCATGTGAAACTTGTACATTAATTGCTCAACTCAGAGGCCGAAGTCCTACTGATTTTGCATCTAACAGTGCCCTTCCCCATTCCAACAGGATTAAGGCAAAGAGCAAAATAAGAGCAAGTTAGAAATAAATAATAGTTAAAAGGCAAGTCCACAGAATCTTCACCAGGTAACATTGAAAGTCTTCAGGTTTTTTGTTGTTGTTGTTGTTGTTGTTGTTGTTGTTTAGTCTTCAGGTTATACAAACGGGTTAATACTCTCTTCCCTTTGTTCTTCCTTTGTGCTCCCTAATAAGGAATGATGGGTCAGTCTTCTCTCAGCCTTCACCTACACTCAAAGGAAAGGGAAAAGTTACCAAATTTGGATGTTATCGGGGAAGAACATAGAAATATGGTTCTCCTTAGTGATTTACTCTACAGGATTAATTATTTGAATCACAAGCTTTGTTATCAAAACATTGATGCAAATCCCGACGCCAATATCCTTCTTTAATCTGCTCCTTGTTTGTACAATCTAGGTACCCAGTAACTGCCTGACTTGGGACTGAGTCATCCTCTGCCCAAGCCAGGTAGCAGCGGTCACACCTGTGACGTTCAGGCATGTTGTTGGTAAGAGCAAATCAGCACAATATATAGTTCCAGCGGAAATGTCCGGTGACAGAGCACCATGGCTTCTGACAAAGGTAAACTGGACCCAGATTCTGGCAAACTCTCTATTCTTGAAAAGGGCAAAAACTGTGTGTGTGTGTGTGTGTGTGTGTGTGCGCGCGCGCGCGCGCGCGCATGCGCTAGCGCGTCTCCTGCCTGTACTTTTGTCCTTAGGCATTTTTCAACTTTTCTATTTCTTAATATATTATTATTAATATTATTATTCTTAAACAAGGTTTATTATTATTAATACTAACTTTTCACATCCACAAATGATTTTGATCAAATGACACCAAATCAACAATGCTTATTTCACCATAATATAAAATAAAGTAAAAAATATAACTGTTAATATATATGTATAACTGTTAAATAACAGTTTAAAATAGCAACAGAAATGAAAGAACAAGCTCATATTCATTGATAATTTAAGATTCAGTTACTTAATGTTGGAGAAATTCGTGGGAGAGAGAGGACACTTCAGGATGTAGAAGGAAATGATTTTCAGCTGAAGTGAGATTTGAGCTGGGTCCTAAAAGGGTTTCAGAATTTGGTTTGGCAAAAAAGAAGAGAGTCTTGACTGATACAAAGAGCTTTGAGAGAATTTATAAAGATCATGTGTGGAAATAAAAGAATAAACTGGTTTTGGCTCAGATTGTGATCTCAGGATTGTGAGATTAAGCCCTGCATTGGGCTCTGTGTTCAGCTGGGAGTCTGCTTAAGGATTTCTCTCTCTGCATTTCCCCACCACACTGTCTCTCTCTCTCAAATAAATAAATAAAAAATATAAAAATATAAAAGAAAGAAAGAGGAGTTTCTGGGTGGGTTGGTGCTTGGGTGTCTGCCTTTGGCTCAGGGCATAATCCCGGGATCGAGTTCTGCATTGGGCCCGCTTCTCTCCCTCTGTCTATGTCTCTGCCTCTCTGTGTGTCTCTCATGAATAAATAAATAAAATCTTTAAAGAAAAAAAAGAGAAATCTTTAAAGAAAGAAAGATTTCAAAGAAAGAGAGAAAGAAAGAAAACAAACCTGGAGTGATATTATAGATGGCTTTTGAGTGCCAAGCTAAGGAAATTGAGCTTGATCTTTTTAGAGAAAATTTTTGGAGAATTTGTGAATAGCATAGCCATGACTAAAATAGTGCTTTATTTTTTATTTTCTTTTATTTTTTTAGAGAGGGTGAGGGCGTGAGGGGCAGAGAGGGAGAGGGAAAGAGAGTCTTAAGCAGGCTCCATACCCAGCATGGAGCCCAACATGAAGCTCCATCTTACAATCCTGAGATCACAACCTGAGCCAAAATCAACAGTTGAACTCTTAAGCAGGTGCCCCTAAAATAGTGCTTTAGACATACTTAGCTGGCATTTGGCGCCTTTGTGACGGCAAGCAGAAAAGACTTGGAAGCAAAGAGACCCATTAGGAGACTTTGCGGGAATACGAGCATGATGATAGCAGAGGATATATATATATATATATATATATATCAGTCAGTCTTAGATTTTAATAACAATAGTTTTTTACTCCATTATGCTTTTCCTCTACTAAAATTCTCTCGTGTGTGTTGGGGGAAAGACTAAAAGCATTATTTATTAAGTGTCTGGGTAATATCCCTGGCTTTCCTCTGAAGATGGTCTGTTTTTTCCTCTCAAACCATCCCAACTCATGTGACTGCTATTATTACCTTGCATCAAAGGGGTATAGATTCTGAAAATATATCTCACTCTTTCTTTTTCTTTTTTTTTCTTCTTTTATAAGATTTTATTTATTTATTTGACAGAGAGCAATAGCACAAGCAGAGGCAGCAGCAGGCAGAGGGAGAGGGAGAAGCAGGCTCCCTGATGAGCAAGGAGCCCTATGGTGGGCTTGCTCCCAGGACCCTGACATCATGACCTGAGCTGAAGGCAGACACTTAAGTGACTGAGCCACCCAGGTGCTCTCTCTCTCTCTCTCTCTCTCTCTCTCTCTCTCTCTCTCTTAAGATTTTATTCATTTATTTGAGAGAGAGAGAGAGAGAGAACACAAGCAGTGGGAGGGACAGAGGGAGAGAGAGAAGCAGACTCTCTACTGAGCAGGGAGCCTGATGTGGGGCTCGATCCTGGAGGGATTTTGACCTGAGCCAAAAGGCAGACACTTAACTGAATGAGCCACTCAGTTCCCCTATCTCATTCTTTCTTCCTGAAGTTCTCACTGCTGCTTCACCCAGAGTGCTCCCACCATCAATATGACTTCTTCTATAGGTATGGCCTCTGTTTCTACAGGGCTCCCCTTTGAGTGGACCTGCTGCTTCAAAGGCCCCAATTTGGATTGTCTGAGATGTATCCATTCTAAGATATTAGCCACCTTCTTCTTCCTCCATCTCAGTGCTTAAATTCCCTGTACATCCTCTTAAGGATAAGAGGTTTACTCTTCAGGTCACACTTAGGATAGTGTTTCATGACTCTGTCCTTTTTCTAGATATCTGGTTAACTTCTTTTTTTTATTTTTTAATTTTTTTAATTTTTTTATTTTTTAAAGATTTATCTATTTATTTATGATAGACAGAGAGAGAGAGAGAGAGAGAGAGAGAGAGAGAGAGAGAGAGAGAGAGGCAGAGACACAGGAGGAGGGAGAAGCAGGCTCCATGCCAGAAGCCCGATGCGGGACTCGATTTCGGGGACTTCAGGATCGTGCCCTGGGCCAAAGGCAGGCACTAAACCGCTGAGCCACCCAGGGATCCTCTAATTTTCTCTTTTTAAAGGTCTCACACTCCAGAGACACCTGGGTGGCTCAGTCGATTAAGTGACTGACTCTTGATCTTAGGGTTGTGGGATCCAGACCTCTCTCACCTACAACATTGGGCTCCATGCTGGACTTGCAGTCTGCTTAAGATTCTCGCTCTCTCTAAAAAAAAAAAAAAAGACAAGACAAGAGAAGAAAAAGAAAAGAAAAATGTCCCACACACTCTAGCTAGAATTATAGCTCCCCTCTGGAAACTCTCTACTATCTAGTACAAATGCACAGAGAGTGGCCACACACATACGCAGAACTGAGGAGGAAAAAACTTTTCCTTTACCCTCCTAGATTCTGTTTTGGGGCTCCTGCAGATTTAAACTACCAAAAGACAGATTAGCAAAAGAAAAGACAAAATCATGTACAAGAGTTCACAAAAAAGGGACTCAAAAAGGTGGTTAGTGTTTAGGGCTTGTATACCATCTTCATAGGCAAGCAGAGAGTCAGAAGAGCACTTATGGGAACACAAATAAACTTTTAGGAAATAGAGATGGGCCCTTAGGAGAATAGATAGCCATATGATAATTTTGTGACAATGTCTGTGTGGGCGTGTATCTTGAGTGGTAAGAGACAATCTCCTCTGGTTGTTCCAGAGAATGGGATTTATGACAATTGATTTCTTTTGAGTTTTTTTGAAA